TGTAATGTTTTTCTCCCCTTGTAAAGCCCTCCAGCGGCGCCCCGGCCCGGTCAATAATTAATGCTAGGGATGCTCTGTGTTTTACGGGAGGCCACGGCCGTGTTTTATCCCTGTAGCACATCATTCTCATTAGACTCCGATTCGATCAAGATTCACTGTGCGCAAATACACAGAGAGAGACACAGTGAGATGCATGGAAGACAGAAGAGGTGGAGAAAGGAAGAATAAAAGACCTGGCCAAACCATCCACCTGAAATAGACTCTGCTCCACTCTCTCTGTCCTGCCTATCTCCATCTCCACCTAACCCATTAGTAAAATAGTCTTCTTTTTCTCGCCAACCCTGTCCTCGTCGCCTTACTGAAATGTATTGCGTGCACATAGGTCTCATTGTGCGTGTGTCTGTGTTTGAGAGAGAGAGAGAGAACACGGTTGTGTGATAAGACATACATATTTAATGAGATGGAATGAGATGTGGGTTAGGGCAAGGTCAGGGGTGACACACACACACGGACACACAACACTGCAAACGTTGACATGTTAACATATACATACTAAGTGAAGACCTACACCCCCACACACACACCACACACACACACACACACACACACACACACACACACACACACACACACACACACACACACACACAGACCCTCGAAGGAGAGTGTGAAGTATGGTCTCATTAGGCAGGCTGTATGGGATTAACAACAGCGGTGACATTTTGTGGCTTGTAAGCGACTAGTCTATAAAAACAGTAAAAGGAGAAAAGGTGTATGTATGTGTGTGAGCCTCTGTGTGTGTCTGAGATATAAATGTTGCTACACGCCCCAATTTTTACTCTCATACTGTGCCGTAAACACCAACACGCACTCTTGTACACCTGGCGACAGACGGAGCCAACATGTTTGATAGGAGAACCTTATTATTTGTCCCCTGGGTATTTTAGCCAGTCTAGTTTTTTCGCTGTAGTCAAAGTGATTATGTGATCCCAATTTTATTACGCAGCTTTGTCCTAATACAAAGCTCCCCCAAAGGATTCTGGGTGAACGCATGTGCCTACCAGACCTCTGCCATGTTCTTACTTTGTTTCGGAAAAGAAAGAGACTTTTTTTCTCTCTTTACCCTGCTTGCTTGCCGCCTACAAACACATGCAAACCCATACGGGCGCACCTACACACTGAGTGAATATTCTACTGCATACACACCTTCTACAATTGACTGTCCTGAGGATGCTGGATGGCAGGAACAGGCTCAGCAGGCAGTGGCTGCCAAATAAGCCAATGCAGAGGAGATATTCTGGTTAATGAGCTGCACAAATACAGTTCTCACCTAGTGTCTGCATTGTGTGTGTGCGTATGTATGTTTGAGGGTAGAAAGAAAGGAGAAACAGGAGAAAAAGTCAATGTGATTCCCATGTCTCTTCTCCTATTTTTCTATGTTTTTATTTTTTGCTTCTCATCTCCTTCTCCTCTGTTCTTTGCTTTTTAAACTCTACTCTCTGTTGATACAAGGGAAGTGGGGGGAATAAGCCTTGAAGCTTCCAAACATATTTAGTGAACCGAATCCCGCCTTAAAAATATTTCAACTGGAATTCAGTTTTGTAGATTGGGCCATGGGTTCTACTGCTTGCGGTAACACTGAACACAACCAATCCTTTGCTAAGACCCTGAAAGGGGCCCTGTTAGACCTACTTTAGGTAATGTTGTTATATTCTAAGATCCCAGCAATTACTTTGTTTAGTTCAAAAGTTGAATAAATTTAAATAAAAGCTAGAGGGTACAGGGTTACCAGGGCAACAAAATTGCATATTTCTTTGTATTACAATTTAGCCCGTACCATCCCATAAATAGGATAAAAGTTGTACTTCACATTAGGGCTGGGCGATATGGTCTCTAAATTATATCGCGATATTTACTGACTATATCGTGATACACCTCTCTGAAGAACCAGCACCTTACCGTGGTAGAGAGGTTTGTGTGCCCTGATGAACCTGGGGGCTGTGTTGTCTGGAACCTTGTGTTCCTGGTAGGGTCTCCCATGGCAAATTGGTCTCAGGCAAGGGGTCAGACTAAGATTGGTTCAGAAGACCTCATGAAAGACGACACACGAAGTGAGGATACCCGGCCCGGAGGAAGCCCGGGGTCCCCTTCTGGAGCCAGGCCCAGAAGGAGGACTCGTCGGCGAGCGTCTGGTGGCCGGGCTTGCCACGGAGCCCGGCCGGGCACAGCCCGAAAAGGCGACGTGGGCAACACCTCCGCTTCTCCGTCCCGCGGGCCCACCACCTACGGGAAACAGCGATGGGGTCGGGTGCGCTGCCAGAGGCCCGCGGGACGGAGAAGCGGAGGTGTTGCCCACGTCGCCTTTTCGGGCTGTGCCNTTTGTATATAGTTTTTGACCAAACCAGTTTGACATCATGCACTGGTTTGTTGACTTAAAAGAAAAGATGCACTTTGATTTAAAATGTCTAAAAAGTCCTTTTATTTATGTTACATAAAAATGTCCAGTGACAGTGACTTTACTTTATTATTTTATTATTGCACTTTCAATATGTTTTGATATGGATAAGGGTTTCTGCGCTTTTTCATTGAGCTCAGTTTTTGCCCATAGAAATAGGCAACAGTATGTATGTAGGGTAGGCCTACATTTATTTTAATATGTATTGAATAAATACTGTTCAACTCAACTTTATGATCTAC